GCTATACTAATCAGTAGATGATGTGGTGATGAGTTCCTAGCTGAGGTGGGGCCCAGCTGGAGGAGCTGGGGGCCTTTGGAGGATCTCTCTCTCTCCCTCTCTCTCCCTCTGTCTCTCTAGCTCTCTCCAGGTCTCCATGGGATGAGCAGCTGTCCTCTGCCAGGCCTTTCCACTATGCCATCTCTGCCTTAGAGCCAGCCAAGCATGGACTAAACCCCATGAAACTGTAAGCCAAGCTTTGCAAGCATAAGGTCCTGAGTTCAATCCCTGTGGGGCAGGGGATAGAAAAAGGTATATGCACCAGAGCAAGAGGACTGCACATTTGAGGCCAGCCTGGGCTATGTAGTGAGTTCAAAGCCATCTTGGGGCAGTCATGGTGGCTCATGCCTAATCACAGCACTTAGAAGGCTGAGGCAGGAGGATCACCAAAATTCAAGGCCAGCCTGGGCAAAGTTTAAGGCCAGCCTGAGACCCTGACTCAAAAACAAGAGCAAAAAGCCATCTTGGACTACACACTGAGACTCTGTCTCAAAAAATTAAAAAATATGTAAAATAAAAGTGACCCTGACATCAAAGTCTAGGGGACAGTACCTGGCAGGAGTTTGTTCATTTTCCAGGCAGGAGCAGCGCCACTGAGCTAAATCCTCACCCCTTGGAGTTTGTTCATTTTCATCCAAAAAGTATTAGAAGGAAATATTCAACTGTCCCCTGTATATAAGACATATACAGTCCTTATAGATAAGGCTTAGGGCCCCAAGGGCATTATTCAGTCTTACTGAGCTCAGACTTCCTTATCTGTAAAATAGGGATGATAAAAGCATTGATTTTGTAAAACTGTGGTTATTAACTCCATTAAAGTGTTAATTTATCCTGGTGTATGCAAACAGTAAACTGTCAATACAATGCAAGCCTATGAGCAGCTAATGTACACAGTGAAAACAGTGGTGCTCAACTTGCACCACCCAAGACATCCTCAGGAAACAGCCCCACCAGCCCCATTCCAGAACTGTCACGTCAGATTGGCTGGGCGTGACCGTGCCTGCAGTCCCAGCACTCTGAGAGGCTGCGGCAGGAGCAGCACAAGTTCGAGCCCAGCCTGGGCAAGTGAGCGTCTTAGTAAGTCCCTGACTCAAAATAAAAAATAAATGAAAAGGGCTGGGAATGGAGCTCAATGCAAAGGTCCTGGGTTCAATCCCCAGTCGCTGTCCCCCACCACCACCAAAAAAGAGAAAAATGTCTTCCAGGTTAATTTCAACACGCAGTTTGAGGACCAATGACATAAACACCTAGCAGGTATAAGCTGGCACTGAGGCCAAGCAACACTTCAGAGCTGAGTTTTTAAGTTTGGTTTGAGAGGAAGAGTGATGTCTAACCCTTAAGACCTGCAATATGTATCCAGGCCAGGGATTTAGCTCAGTGGTTCCACTGCCTGCCTCGCAAGTGCAAGGTCCTGAGTTTGATCGCCTGTACCAAAAAAACCCCCCAAAACTGGTACCCAAGCTGGGTGGAGAGGCGTAAGCCTGCAGGCTCAGCTAGGCAGGAGGTTGCGGCAGAGGACTTGAACCCACAAGCTCAAGCCCAGCCCGGGCCACACACTCAGGCCCCATCTCAGCAAAGCAAAGAACCTGGGGCTGGGGATTTAGCTCAGCAGTTTCACTGCCTGCTGCCCAAGCGCAAGGACCTGAGTTCGATCCCCGGTACCAAAACAAAAACATAAACAAAAACAACAACAACAAAAATGCAGAGTAAGCCAGACGTACAGGATTAAAATGTAAAATCTACTGCAAGAAAACAAAAGGTCTGCCACCTGTTACTGTTAAGATTTTTTTTCTTGGTACCAGTCGAACTCATGACCTTTTGCTTGAGAGGCAGGCACGATATCACTGAGCTAAATCCCTGGCCCTGTTACTGTTAAGATTTGATGGTGGAGGGGCCAGGATTTAGCTCAGTGGTTCCGCCGCCTGCCTTGCAAGCGCAAGGTCCCAAGTTCGATCCCTGGTACCAAAAACAAAAAAACAAAAAACAAAAACCATCGCTTTGAAAAAAAAAAAAAAAAAAAAAAAAGATGTCATGGTGGGCCAGGGATTTACCTCAGTGATTCCGGCGCCTGCCTCCCAAGTGCAAGATCCCATGTTCAATCATTGGTATCAAAAAAAAAAAAAAAGATTTGATGTTTACACCCAAAGTTCCAAAGATACCAATCTCTCCAAGCCACAGAAATTTAATTACTCAGGAAGCAACAAAGGTGGTCTGAAGCACAGAGCAAACACAAATTTCCCCAAGGTAAAACCTCTCTTGCCTGCCATGCAGGACCTAGCATAATGGGGTATTCACAGCCTATAAAGCATGGCTCCAGTCATGAGGGGAGAGTTGGGCAAGTTCTGACTCACAGCACCAGTGGCCAGTGTCACTGCAACCATCTCCAGACTAGGGGGCAAAATCCTGGGGTGCAGCAAGGGCTTCTGCGTCACCTGGGCGACAAAGGGCAGAGGCCAGAGCCATGGTGCGCAGGGCAGGTGTGCCTGGCCCCAAGTGACTCGTTTTATAAAACAGCAGTTCGTTCCATTCAGAGTACAAATCCTGAAACAGGATGCCCTGGCTCCGTGTATGCAAAGAGATCACCACCAGATGCTGGACACACTAAACTTATCAAAAAGAACAACTCTAGGGCCAGGTATTTAGCTCAGTGGTTTCGCTGCCTGCTGCACAAGCGCAAGGACCCGAGTTCAATTCCCGGTACCAAAAAAAAAAACCAAAGAACAACTCTAGCTGTCCAGTATACACATAGAGCAGAAATTGATAGATACATTAACCATACTAATAAAAAAACAACAACCTATAAGGGTTGTCGGATTCAATCAGGAGCACACAAACACAGGACAGAGCCAAGTTACAGCACAGAAAAACAGGCCCCATGAGCTTACTGTGATACTGCACCAACTGTGCCACTGCTGCCCAGAGCAGAAGGAAATCGTGGCCGAAAAGGAGGCAGCTAAGAGGAGTGTTTATGAGAAGTCTAAGAAAGCAAGCTCCCAGTTGGGAAGGTCTCAAAATGGGTGGCCAGAGTAGGTTCTATCTAGGGTCATTTGTATAGAGGTAGCCTTCACAGGTCCAGGTGGGCTGCCCTGTAGACTCTGGGTGTGGGCTGTCCATGCTCTACCACAATCTATAGAGAAATGGAGCATGCAGTGGCCATGCACTGGTCAAGCACTCTGTCCTTTTAAGAATCTTGCTGGGGGATCGCTTCTCGGCCTTTTGGCTAAGATCAAGTGAAGAATCTTGCTGGGTAATTAGGGAGAACAAAGAAAAAGGGAGGAGGGGGTCAGTTACAATGGTCACTTCCCCAAGCTGGCTGTTACCTTCTTGAGGTTAGTAACACGCATGGCTTGAGATAACCCTTAACCCTGTGTCTATACTGTTTTCTTCATAAGGCTGACCAGCCTGAAGTCATCTTCAGCCATGTCCCTTACTATCTGCCTTACAAACTAAATGCCTCTTACAATTGGGCACACCAGACCAACAAATGACACAACCCCCTTCCCCTGAATCATATAAAAGGTGGGGCACCCAACACTAGGATACAGCAGCGACACACGCCCACACATCCACTCACCAGACCACCTGGTGAACAATCACATCAACAGGCGATACCCAGCTGTTCCCGGCTTCAGCTCAGCTAAGCTCTCCCGGCTTAACAAGGTCCATTTTGACTGAATGCCACCCAGACTAAGGCTTTGAGCTAACTCTGCACCCTCAAGCCTCCTCAAGGAAGTCCTGCCTGGTCTGTATCTTATCTGTGTGACCCTTCACATCTCTGTGGGCTCTCTGCCTTGGCTTTCAGTCCTGTCTTCAAATCCTGCAGCCACCAGGGCCTTTGTACTGGGCCACACTCCCAGCTCCCTCCTTTTTAAACTAGTTTTTAATTTTGAAACAGGGTCTTGCTAAATTTCCCAGGCTGGGCTCCAATTTAAGATCTTCTCACCTTAGCTGCTCAGGAAGCTGGGATTACAGGTGTGTGCCAGCTTTGTTAACCCTTTCATAGTTATTTTGTAATCTATATAGTGTATGAAGCGTGAAGTGTTATGTATATTACTAATTAAAATTGAAATAAAAGAACCTGTGATTGTCTAGCTCACTGGCCATAGAGGGAAATCGTGAGTACTCAGCCAGGTAAGGCCAATGAAACTGATGTCACTCGCATTACTGGCATAGATCACCCATGACACATGGTAAAACTTACTTGATTTTAATGGGGCCTCTATGACCATGTTAAGGTGTTTTCTCCAACAATCGTTAATGAAATAAGCTACCGTACCAGGGAACTGAGCCTGGGGCCTGGGTGATAACTTGCCCTGGTACCTGCTTATTCCAACTGTAAACCAGACTGGACTTCAAAGACACATTTATAATAAAGTGTTTTAAGAGTCACAGCCCGACAGAAATGAAAATTAACAAGACCGGTATATTTTGCAATCCTTAATTGGCTCCTTTGTCTTTCCTTAATTACTGTTTTATACCAAGTTCGCTGGCCTCTCTCATTAGCCTGTAAGTAAATGTATTGCTAGTATTTGTGTGCTTTGTTTAATTATTGTATCTGCAGCTCAGTCAACATTTTCATCTGACAGATGAAATCAAGGTTTAGGCCTCCCTTAAACAAAACATACTCCCCGAAAGAAGAGCAATTTGTAAAAACTGCTTGCCATTCTTTCTCGCTATAGACATTCCTTCCGGGTCGTTCGCCAGTTCTGTGTGTTTGAAAAGAACTCTTCAACATCAAGTCCCACAAAGTCAGGATAAAGTCAGCCACCGCTTAAAGAAAAGCACCACTAACCCTTACGAGGCCAAAGCAAAAACGCAAAGCGCAAAGTACGCGCCGTCCACGTCGAGAGGTCTGTGTGTGACTAACAATTATTCCCCGCTCGAGCAGGCACGCGCACTCTCGCTCGCGCTGCGTTCAGGTGGGCGCTTCCGGGGACCCCCCGCCCCCAGGACCCCCTTACCAGGCCGGGCGCCGCGTCCCTCCTCTCGGCCCCGCGCTCCGAAGCGAGCCGGCAGCCGCAGCCCGCGAATCCGCGGCACAGGGGCGAGCACAGAGCCTTCCGCCCGGAGCCCAGGGCCGCCATGGCAGCGTGCGCCACCTCCCGCGCCACACGGCAGAGTCGCGCGCGCGCGCGCGGGGCTGCGGTACGGCAGGGTCGCAAAGCCTGAAGCCCGCAGAGCGCGGCCGACCGTGCGCTCTCCCGGCGGTGCCGGCGGCGGCCTGGGCGGCGCGGCGCAAGGTGATAGCGGGCGCCGGCCGAGCTTCCCGGGGGCTGAGGCCTGTGGGCCGCGGGCGGGGCCGGCGACCGCGGCGCTGCGGAAGTGGAGGCAGCGGAGCGCGATGGCGGGGGAGACGCAGGTGAGCGCGGCGCGGCGCGGCCTTCCGGGCGCGGGGCTCCCCGCGGACCCCCTCCCGCCGGCGCCCTCCGCTCGGCGCGCATTGTGAGGTCAGGCGGGCCGGCCTCACGCCCGGGGCGCCGCGAAGTCGCTGCCGCGCCACTGGCCCCTTCGCCGCCTCCCGGGTCAGCCCCAGCCGGGACGGGACGCGCGGGAGAGGCCGCGAGGGGCCGCGCTCCGGCGCCGCCGCCTGGGAAGGGCGCGCGCCCGAGTCGGGCGCGCGGGGAGCAGGCGAGCCCCGGGCCCGGACGCCCGCAGGCCTGGCTCAGCGGACCGTCCTCCTCGAGGGAGCCGTTGGGTGGAAACCCCGGACCGTGGAACATGTGCTGAGCTAGCCTTCCGGCTTAATGGGAGGCGAGTGACCGGGTTTCCCGGAGCTGTCGCCCTTCGCGGGCTGATGGGGGAGCGTGGTCGCGGCCGGGGGTCCTGGGCTCCATGGCCCCCGACGTTCCTCCGCGCCTCCTTGCTGCTGGCTGCAGAACTTCTGGGCCGGGCGTGCGGGGAGCTGAGGGCGGGCTGGACCCGTGCGCGGGGGATGGAGAGCAGCGTGGAAGCCGGACCGCGGGGCCCAATTGCTTCTGCTTGCCCTCTGGAAACCAGGCACCGCCTTTTGGCAGTGTGGGCCGTGTGAACTTGGAAGGTTCGAAGAGCTTGGGCTGGGGATTTAGCTCAGTGGTTCCGGGGTCATCCTCGAAAGCTCAAGGTCCCGAGTTCGATCCCCGGTACCAAAGAAAAAGAAAAGAGCTACAGTTTTACATTCCACTAAGATGTGGAATCTACGTGGATTCCACTTAGAAGTCCTGCAGTTTTCAAAAGATAAGATTTTTAAGGTGTTAAGATCTAAGGAATTTGTGCTGTTTCTAAGCTGATAATTTAACTTCTGATGAAGGCATATTCTCTTTTATGGTTGAAATTTGGAATTCACAGGGTCAGAGATTCGATAAGTCACTTCCTTTCTGTACTTAAGTGTGACTGTCTTTTGGATCCCATAACAAACCCCTCCTAGGTTTTTTTGTGTGTGTGTGTGTGTGGTACCTGGACTCGGGACCTTGCACTTGTAAGGCAGGCAGTGGAATCACTGAGCTAAATCCGAGGCCCTGGTGCTTTTTTGAGACAGGATCTCCATATATAGTTCAGGCTGGGCACAAACTCACTATGTAGTGCAGGCTGGCCTTGAACTCACAGAGGTCCTCCTGAGTGCTGGGATTATAGGAGTGCACCACCACACCCAGCAACAAACCCTTCTTTCAGTATTTTGCCTGATGGACCTTTCCTATAATCCTAGCACTTTGGGGGGCTACATAGTGAATTCAAGGCCAGCCTGAACTATGTAGTGAGACCCTGTCAAAAAAAAAAAAAGTAAGACAACTAAATAAAATACATACTTTAAAAATGAGAATTCTAGGGCCAGGGATTTAGCTCAGCTGCGCTGCGCCTGCCTCTCAAGCTCAAAATTCTGAGTTCCATCCCCCCCCCCCCGTACCAAAAAAAAAAGAGAATTTTAGAATGAACTAATAGGTGATTGTTATTCTGCTAGACTTTGTGCTTTAATAGCTGTCATTCTTGTCTTTTAGTGCTTGTGCAACTGAACACAACCCAAGTATGGATATGGGAAACCAACATCCTTCCATTACTAGACTTCAGGAAATCCAAAAGGAAGTAAAAAGTATAGAACAGCAAGTAATCAGCTTCAGTGGTCTGTCAAGTGACAAGAATTACAAGAAACTGGAGCGGATTCTAACAAAGCAACTGTTTGAAATAGACTCTGTAGATACTGAAGGAAAGGGGGACATTCAGCAAGCTAGGAAAAGGGCAGCACAGGAGACAGAATGCCTTCTCAAAGAGTTGGAGCAGAATGCAAACCACCCACATCGGATCGAAATACAGAACATCTTCAATGAAGCACAGGCCCTCGTGAGAGAGAAGATCGTTCCCTTTTACAGTGGAGGCAGCTGCATAACTGATGACATTGAGGAAGGCATCCAGGATATCATTCTGAGGCTGACCCATGTTAAAACCGGAGGCAAGATCTCTTTACGGAAAGCAAGGTATCACACTCTAACCAAAATCTGTGCCGTGCAAGAGATTGTTGAAGACTGCGTGAAAAAGCAGCCTTCCCTGCCACTTTCTGAAGATGCACACCCCTCTGTCGCCAAGATCAACTCTGTGATGTGTGAAGTGAACAAGGCCAGAGGTGTGGTCGTGGCACTCCTGATGGGTGTGGACAGTAGTGAGACTTGCAGGCACTTGTCCTGCGTGCTCTCGGGGCTGATTGCCAATCTGGATGCTCTAGATGTGTGCGGACACACAGAAATCAGAAACTATCGGAGGGAGGTGGTGGAAGACATCAACAAATTACTGAAGTATTTGGATTTAGAGGAGGAAGCCAATACTACACATGCTTTTGACCTGAGACAGAACCATTCCATTTTGAAAATAGAAAAGGTCCTCAAGAGGATGAGAGAAATAAAAAATGAATTTCTTCAAGCTCAGAACCCTCCTGAATTGTACCTGAGCTCCAAGACAGAACTGCAGGGTTTGATTGGACAGCTGGATGAGGTAAGTCTTGAAAAAAACCCCTGCATCCGGGAAGCCAGGAGAAGGGCTGTGATTGAAGTGCAAACCCTGATCACTCACATCGACCTGAAGGAGGCGCTGGAGAAAAGGAAGCGGTTTGCCTGTGAGGAGCCCCCCTCACACCAGGCAGTCTGGGATGTGCTCGGGAGCCTGTCGGAGATCCAGGGAGAGGTCCTCTCCTTTGATGGAAACCGAGCTGATAAGAACTACATCCGGCTGGAGGAGCTGCTGACCAAGCAGCTGCTGGCCCTGGATGCCGTGGACCCGCAGGGTGAGGAGAGGTGTAAGGCTGCCAGGAAACAGGCCGTGAAGCTGGCCCAGAACATCCTCAGCTATCTCGACCTGAAATCCGATGAGTGGGAGTACTAAAATGCCATTGCTCTCACAGCGCTCTCGCTCGTTTTGCACTTGATACACACTTCTACGTATTTATGGAGAGCTTTCAGCTCATGGAGCCCAAATGTGATTTATACGTGCATATTTCAATCTCAGTATTTATGACTTAAGTAAATTATATTCAAGGTCTTTGCTGCTTTTGATGTTGCAAAACTATTACAGCTCATTAACCTTTCCATTTGGATCATCCATATGATGTGTGGTTTGTTTGGTTTGTTTTCTGTGTTTTGCTTGTGAGTTTTTAATCAGAACATGAAAGAGAAGCAGCATTCATAATTTTTAAATGGGTTGTGCAAGCATTGAAATGCAGAAACTTCAAAATCTAGAAGTAGATATAACCTTACATAACGGAAATTATGAGAAGGAGGAAATTTTTTGGTAAAGTCTAAGCAGTAGGTTTTATGCTAAATAAAGCAGAAGGGTTTTTTCACTTACAAGGCCTGAATGGTCCCTTATAAGTGGGTCATTTATATATTTATATAAATGAGGAAAGATGGTTTATATGTTATATAGAGAAGGTGGGGTCATCTATGTTATATAAATGAGATGGGATTGTTTGTTTCTATGTTTGTATTGTCTGTTCTTTCATAAACATTTTTGTTTAAAAAAAAAACTGTCTCTTTTTCCCCATGGTCTGCAATTTGGAGGGTGGAATCCTGTATACAGTACAAGAAAATTATGAGAACTAGTAGCCAAAGGAACCTTTGAGACTCAGCTGAAGAAGGGATAAGACACCTACTCAATACCTTCAAAGTTGTTTTTTGTTGGACTGAAAATTTTCCTTAGTGACTTAAGTAAGAATGGGAACATTTGACCCGGGGATGTAGCTCAGTCAGTGGTTCCAGCGCCTGCCTGGCAAGCGTGAGGCCCCCAGTTCGATCCCTGGTACCAAATAAAAAAAAAGAATGGGAACTTTTGAATGAAGTCAGTGGACCTTAAAAAAAAAAAAAAAAGGAGACACCTATACCTGTAGTTGGAGGATGCAAGCTAGGTTAGTTTACCAACATCACACTACGCTGAGGCTGATTAGAGACATCTGACTGTAGCTTGTAATGGATTTCTTCTGTCAGTCAAGGCTGTAAAATAGACAGCTGTGCCAAACACTCCAGTGCTGCTTGGGAGCCTAAGAGGGTGGCCACTGTCCGAACCCCCGTGGGACCAGGGCTCCACTCATCTGGGAAGGTTAGCAGTGGCTTGAACCTTAAATGCCTCGGCTCCTGTTACTGGTGTGGGGCTTTCCGTGTTTCCTGAAAGAACCATTAGAATCTGTCAGGCAGGAAGTTTTCTTCGGCTAAGGGACACATGTTGATGTAAATAGTTTCTGAGGACCAGTTTTTTCAGGTGCTCATTAATGTGAGCAAAAGAATTCCCCGAAGTTCCGCAGTGCCTTGATGGTAACGTGTGGCTCCGGGAGTCTGACTACCCCATACCGGGTACCGCTGTAGTCATGTTCACAGAGCCTGTGAGCACTCATCTTTTGAACTTTATGGTGAGCTGTGATTTTCTCAGACATTAATTTGGCAACCTTAAACAGCTGAAATGTATGGCTGATGAACAACCTTCGACACCTAAAAGATGTAAAAGTATAGTCCTACACCGATCATCTTGTCTCTCAAAGCCCTCGTGTCTCTCCTACTAGGAACGATCTAGAACTGCGGACCCTGGGATCAGAGGGTATGGGAGTTCTGAACAGTGAGCCCTTCCTACTCCAGGTCCTCAGTGCGAGTCCCTGGAGTTCTCATTTCGAGGTGTGTTGCCTGTGGTCTGCAGTTGATAACGTCATCCATGTTCATGCAGAAACTGGCTGGGAATGTTCGCTTCCTTAACAGCTTTGCTTTCAGGTCATTCTGTTCAAATAGCCCGGCAACAAAGTAGTGATTACAATAAATTAATGTGTGTACTAAGTACAGTTTAATGCTTTATTTTGCTAAAATGCTTATATATTTGCTATGATGAAGTTTAACCAGTTTTCTCTCTTTTTTTTTTTTTTGGTACCAGGGATCGAACTCGGGTCCTTGTGCTTGCGCAGCAGACGGTGAAACCACTGAGCTAAATCCCTGACCCCTTAACCAGTTTTATTTGCCAATTGCTGCCTGATTTTTGAGGATCTGAGTTTATTCTGTACATGCAGCTTTTAACTGGTTGGGTATTTCTCCCCAAAGAATAATTATGGAAATACTTGCCCTGGATTTCAGTGTGTGACATGGGCGTGTGGTCAGTGTATCGGCTCCTTTCCCTGTCGACTGTGACACCTGTGTCAGGGTGTCTGGAATAACCCAGGATCATGTGATAGACACGAGCATGCCATCACTGTCACTGAAATAAAGAACCCTTTGTGCCTGGTGGCTGAGCAAGGACGTGAGTTCAAGGAGTGTGCTTTGTCCCCCTCTGGGGACAGGATCCTCTATGTGGCAGCCAGTCCCTGGGGAAGGGGCTCCTTGCCACAGATTGCACAGTGGTGTGCAGAGGGGACAGCGGTGACCAGGGCCAGGCCAGCCAGGGAGTGCAGCTCACACTGCTGTCCCCGAGAAGCTGGCACCACAGGGGCTCGGCTCATTTGTAGGAAGGTGGTTGAGAGATTCTGTGCCCAGGAAGAACCTTTCACTGTGCTGCCTCTTGCGGGCAGTGTGGGACCTGCCCGTGTCTCTGTGCTGAAGAGTCTACCTGCAGGGCAGAGTGCTGATGCCCCATGCCTGGACCCCAGGTGTGCTGAGTCCCTCTGGGCAACTGCCTGTTGAGAGGTCTGTTTTTCTCTAGCCTTTTCCTACCAGAGCTTCAGTCTTTCTGCATGCTGGCCCCTCCAGTGGTTCCCCACTAAACAGAAGTAGAAGCAGCCAGTTTCTTGTTTGTTTGAGACAGGATCTCTCTCTGTAGCCTCCTGGTCTGGAGTTCAAAGTCCTCCTGCATCAGCCTCCTAAGTGCTGGGATTACAGTCATGTGCCACCATACCCAGACAGTCATGGAATTCCTGATATGCTAGAAGTGCGGCGCGGGGGTGGTGGTGGTGTATAGCTTAAAAAGAACATGGGGCCATGTGTGGTGGTGCACTCCTATAATCCCAATGCTCTGGGAGACTGAGCCAGGAGGACTGCAAATTTGAGCCCAGGCTGGGCAATTTAGCAAGACCCTGTCTCCAAAAATGAAAAGGATGCAGCTCATTGGAGAGGCTCGCTTCAATCTCCAGTCATGAGAAGAAACAAGGTGCCATGAGGGACATTTGAACTTCTGGTGTTCCTCTGAACAGAGGAGATGATGGCCTAGTCCCAGTGCTGGCCCTGCTGTGTGGCCCTCAGGCTGCTTGGCACCACGTGAAATGACAGCATCTGCCATCCAGTCCCTGGCAGAGGACGGTGGTCCCCTCAGGGACACAGGAAGAGAGGATCAGCTGCTCTGGGCTTGGCTGGGTGGAGCAGCTGGCATCCAGGAGACCCGTGGATTGGCCGGGATGGGACAGGAGTTGGGCTCCAGCGCACGGCCCTACTTCTGGGACACACTGAGCAAGTGCAACCCTCGGGCACACGCCTGGGTCGCCTGTGCTTGTTGGGATGTGTCTGAAGCCACCTCATTTCCTGTGCTGTAATTAGATGGCTTTTTTTCCCCTTTTTTTCTGGCACTGGGGATCAAACTCAGGACCTTGCGCTTTTGAGGCAGGCACGGGCGCCACTGAGCTACATTCCCAGCCCAGATGCCTCATTTTTTAAGCCATTGATCGAAACTTTCTTCATGCCAAGCCCTGTGCAAAATGCTTGCCTTCGAGACAGGCTCTCCTGTTGTCTGTTCTTGGAGGATGCCGACTGCCCTGGGTCTAATGCTAACAGGAAAACCAAAATTCCCACCAAGGAGGCTATGGAAGGCAGCGGCAGCCCTTGGGCCTCAGAGATGCAGTTCACTCGGCTCCAGGCAGGGCTAGGCAGCCGGTCTCTAAGGCCCCAAGAACCCAGCCCTCCCGAGCCATGGACCATGCACTGCTGCCTTGCTCAGAGCAGCTCCTTCCAGGGAGGATAAAAGCCTTTTAGGAGCTGGGCATGGTGGCGCACACCTGTGATCTCAGCACTCGGAAGGCTGAGGCAGCAGGATTGCCCTGAGTTCAAGACCCTGTTTCAAAAAAACGCCATCAAGGACCAGGGATTTAGCTTAGTGGTTCTGCCAGCTGCCTTGAAAGCGCAAGGTCCCGAATTCGATCCCCGGTTAAAAAAAAAAAAAACTTCAAGCTCCTGAGCACTTCCTGGAGCTGCCTCTTTCCAGAGGAATGCTGCTCATTGTCTGCCTGTCACCCTATGCTGGGTTTCCTCTGCAGAGTGGAGGTCACAGAAGGCCTGTCTGGCATGGCCCGGGCTGGGGGTGTCTGTCCCACCACTATCCTGGGATGGCCGGCCTGTCTCCCTGCAAAGCTGCCTGGCCTTTCAAGGAAAGAACTTCGAGCCTATGCCCCAGCCTCTGGGCCTGGCAGGGGCTGGCATGCATGCCTGAGGGCTGAGCTGTGTGCTGGCACAGCGCTCAGGAGACGCCGCTAATAATCGGATGAAAAATCTCTGCTCTCCGGATGGCCCCATAGTGCTGGAAGCCAGGATCATCAGATTTGAAGAACCTTTGTTGTTCCCTGGCCAGGCCTTGGGGTCATTCTGTCCCCTCACGACCTCGGGTGGTTCCCAGAGTGCCCCGTGTGCCTGGGTGGATGGCAGGGCCGACTGCACACCCCAGCCTCTCCTTGTGCCATGTGACACTGTGTGACAGCAGCTGGTGACGGAGGAGGCACCCGTGCCAAGAGTCCTTGGTGCCACAACAGGGCTGGCGTGCTCACCAGACCCCTTCTGCATGACGGGAGGGTGAACTGCCACAGTTGGGGGCCAGAGGAGACAAGGGAGGGCCAGGGCGCAGATGATGCCCGACACCAGGTTGGCACCCCAGGGCAAGCCTCCATGCAGGGCCACATCCCAGTGAGGAGCCAGGAAGGCTTGGAGAGAGCCAGACACCCTGTTCCCGTGGGGTTGGCAGGCAGGACCCATTGCCGGCCTCTCTACTCTGGCGGATGTGCTATGAGCCTGGGGATGGCAGACTGGTCACTGAAGGCATGTTTGCCATTAGAATGGCAGGGCTGGGAAGGGACAGCAGGAACTGAGAGTCCCCAGGAAGGGGACCAGGCTGAGGCGGGTACAGGATCTCGCAGGTTCCTGAGGGTGGGGGAGGAGGGAGGAAGGGTCAGCTGTAGGCCTTCTTCAGGCCTGGGGTCAGGTGTGAGGATGGGGCAGCCACCTGCAGGTCCGGCTCTGCCCTGGATCTGTTCCGTGCTGGGCACTCAGTCGGGTCCCCACCCACTGCCCTCAGATACCACAGCAGGGGGACCAGCAGCACACACTCCCACTGCTCCACCCGTCTCGTCCCCAGTGCCTACTGCTGTGAGCCAAGAGTCCAGAGCACATGCACCTGCAGCCTAGCCAGGCGTGGCCTGTCCTCGGGGCCCCTACCTCCCACCCCTGTGGAGGGAACGGCACCCACCTCTGGCTGTCTGGAGGAAGCAGCACAGTGGCTGTGTGGCAACAGGCCAAGGGTTTAGCCAGAGCTGTCCTGGAGGTGAGGAGAGATGGCACTGCGGCAGCTGCCACCAAGCCAACACCTGCATATGCCCTTCCAGCCCCTTCCCCATGCAGCAAGAGCCCTCCTCGGTGGGGGCTCCGTGGATGGAGGAGAGGAGACGGCCCAGCTGTGCAGGAGGAAGAAGGGAGCCCAGGCCCAGGCGGCCCCGCATGAGAGTGATCACGACTGGCCTGGGGGAGCCAGGAGGAGCCGGGAGGGGCACGGAGTTGAGGAAGCCCATGTCCCGGCAGGATCAGAGGTGATGGGGCAGCCCTGCCACACACAGAGGCCATGAGCAGGCTCTGGGGGTGAAGGGTGAGGCTGTGGGGCAGGTGAGACGGGGAGGGAGCCCCAGGGGGTGCACACTGGTCCCCTCTGCCACCTCATCTCCCTGGCCAGGACGGGCAGGGAGGGTGCCAAGCAAGTGCTTGTGAGTGGGCACCAAGGTGCCGAGAGGCCCAGTGTGGCCTGCTGAGAGCAGGGACAAAGCCATCTCTCCCTGTACCCTGTGCAGACTTGCCCCTGCATGGAGGCCCCACTAAGCCTTTAGGGGACAGTGGCTCCCAGGCGTCCCAGCTTCGGTACTGAGCTTGGACCGCAGCAGCAGCAGCAGCAGAGAAACTGAAGCCAAGGCCACCGTCCCTCTGCCCGGGCCTCAGGCCCCAGCTGCACCCTCAGCCTCTGGGCTAAGTTGCCTTGGACTCCGGGAACATGAAACCCCTGTGTTCCTGTGACCCACCATGTGGCCCCACACGGCTCTGCAGAATGGCAGGCAGAAAGTGCCCGATGTGGGCAGGACCCGGACTGGCTTGCCTGCTGTATTCCTCTAGGTGGTGTGGTCCTGACCTCACAGCCCTGCATGGTGCCCAGAGCCCCAGCATGGATGCAGCACAGAGAAAGCCCCTTCAGGACCTGCTCTTCACAGCTGGCACCTTGAGGGCCTTGAGGGACCCTGGGAGGGTCAGCTGGTGAGAGGAGGAGGATTTGGGCAGGACAGAGCGGGCTGTGCCAAGGGACCAGGAAGGGTGGTGACAGGGGGCTGAGCGGGGGTGGGGGGAAGACGTAGCATGCAGTGCAGGCAACACACAGGCGGGCACTAGAAGGGTTTGGGCTGCCCAGCTGGTCACGGACAGGGACACCTTACCAAGTGCAAGTGACAGAACTGCCAGGTCCAGTTGGATGGCTACAGGAGCTGGGTATTTTTTTGAGGGGTTTTTTTAGGGGGCAGGAGTTGAGACAGGGTCTCGCTCTGTAGTCCAGGCTGGTCATGAACTCACTATGTAGCCCAGGCTGCTCTCGAACTCATGGCAATCCTCCTGCCTCAGCCTCCAGAGTGCTGGGATTACAGGCGTGCGCCATGCCCGGCAGGAGCTGGGTTAAATGTGCCAGGAATCCCTGGGACACTGAGCACCAGCTGCCCTCTTGGGCCTGAGGTCTGGTCTCAGCACTGTGGGGAGCCGTGGCAGGCCGGGGCCTGCAGGCCCTGAGCTCATGTGCTCCCCTTTCCCCAGACCCCCAGGGTCTTTCTTCCCAGGGAAGGGCATCTTCTGGGCCTCACGCCCAATCCAGCCACCCAAAGATGGCCAAGTATCAGCCAGCCTCTAACCCTAGCTCTCTGAGAGGCTGAGGCAGGAGCATCCCAAGTTCAAACCCAGTCTGGGCAACTTTGATAACCTGACTCAAAATAAAAAAGGTCTGGGGACTGTGGCTCAGTGTGAAGACCGTGGGTTCAAGTTCCAGTATCACAAAAGAAAAGAGAAAGGGGAGGGTACAGTGAAGAAAC